TTCTGTTAAAATAGTTGTACTAATTGAATGATTATATTCATTAGACATAAAGTTTTAAAACTAATAATAATTTAGTTTTTCATGCTGAAGTATTAACTAAATTGTATTAAAAAAATAATTAATTTGAATAAGTTGTAAATATTGAAACATAATAACTAATATAAAAAATTACAATAATGGTCATGCATTCATGGAAATATTTTATCTGGTGGTATAACATGATGTTTCAGTTGTTTTTTTAAACTAATGAATTCATGTTATAGGATTCAATTAATTTAAAAAAGTATTTTAATTTGGATATGCTCTACTATTCTAATATGTTTTCATTTTCAGAATTCAATCTCATGAATTTTTAAGAACTTAGAGGATTAGCAAGGTAAGTAAAACTAAAAATCAATCATGTATAATAATTGCTCTTGTTTAGATTTTTAATTTAATGTTCTATTCTAATTGCTATTTTATTTATTAATGAATAAATTAGAATGTTTTTGAAATGAATATAATTACAATTATTGTTATTCTATTCATTCCCTAAATACAGAAATCTCATATAATACAACCAGATAGAATTCCTAGTTTAAATATTGTATTAATATTTTATATTTATAACAATAAGGATAATATACTAACCTGCAAGGATAAGGATATTTGTCCTTGTTATTTCGAGCACTGTATGGTGAATACCTATCTAGAAACCAAATCATTAGCGCAGTTAGACAAAGGGCGCCAAGAATGCTTAACCAAACTTCTACTCTTAGAACTGTCATGAATTTGAAAAGGGATGTCTTTTTTAAAGGTTTTCTCAAAACTGAAAAATATATTATTTTATTTGGTAAATTTTAGCTAATCAACTACTGCTCATCAACAACCAATTGTTGATTAAAACATGCAATTTTTTAGGTATATTATTAACCGATGTAGATAAGATATAAGAAGCTGGAATTAGATTTTAGGGATTTTCGTAGAAATATTCTATTTTCAGATAATTGAAATATTGCTCATAATGGTCATGATACTGTATTGTAAACTTATTCTTTAAACTTATTAATTATTATTATTTATGTGTGTTTTATCTGTTGACCATATCTCCTACCATCATCTCTCATATTTAATGTATGGTCAACAGTTTCTACACTATTATTCCTTAAAGCTTTTCATAATCTTTAATTCACACAAACTTCTTATACTTAATTAATAAATTATTTTCTTAACTTGATTTCTTTATCACTAGCAATATAGAGTTTCATAACCACCATCTGCCACACTAATTCCGCTTATTTTATACAGCACTTTAACTAATTTTCTCATCAACCTTACAGTCAAACAACTAATGTTTATAAAATTATTATCCATTCCCACCTAATGATAGCCAATTTAATAGAGTTGTCATATGTGTTGTTTAAAAAGCTTAGAACTCACTTGCTTACTAACTCCGTGCCATTACAAACTTTTGTGGCCTCCTCAATAAGTCTTGTGAAGTCACCCACCATTAATTCCCGATCTTAATTGCTGTAGATATGCAATGAAGGATTTCACATTCAGATGCAAGGATCTCTTTTTCTTTTGCTCTTGTGAGGTTCCATGTCTTTAGTCCATAAGTTAGTAGAAGATGAATGATTTGAAATACATATTAATATACATATATACATATTAAAATACATTTAATGCAGCAGGAAATGGTCAAAGCTCTCTGATGTTAACTCTTTCTCCGCGTTTGCCAGGATTGGCAGGATAGGAGGTAATAATAATAAAAAATAAAAAAAGGGTGTTTGCTGAGATCACATTGAATCTAATAATTTCTCTAATGATACCTGACGATTTTCTTGGTGCCAATTCTGCTTTCTATAATGTGTTACTTTATTTTCTACAACCCCATTCTCTATGGCAGCATCAATATATCCTTACCCTCAACTATTCCCTATCTATATCTTGATTACAGAAAAATAACTTACTTCAACATCATCGTGACATGGTATAACTTCAAGTATTTGTTTACTCTCTTTTCTTGATGTAGAAACAAATTTATAAAACAGGAATAAATACCTAGTTATTAGTTAACAAATTGTTAACATACCTATGGAGAATCCTGTTTGTTCAAAATACGGAGCAACAAAATCAATTACTTCTTCTCGTTCTGAGGTCATTGTCAAAGAACCAACAACCATATCTACTCTCTGAAATAAATTTGTTTGCATAATATTATTAAAATATCAGTCGATGGAACTGTGGGCAATTTATTTAATAAAACACTATACTTGATTTTATGATTGCAATTTATATTTACTAACCATATTTTGTTAAGCGGCAAATTAAAAATTGAAAAAATAATATAGTTGATTGATGCACCAAAATAACTCAAGTTGTTGTTGTGAAATGGATCAAACTTTGTTTATTATCTCTGTACTATTTATTTTATTTTTTTTAAATCCCTTGTTCAAAACTCTTTATTTTGTTACACAAAACATTCTTCAAACACCAATCAATATTTGCCATAATCTTGAACAATCCAAAGTGAACTTATGAGAATCCTTTTTTTACTTACGCCAGTAGCAAGCATTCCGACCAGGCCATCCCAGGAGCCATTTTCAAATCTTTGTCCAAACATATGATTTTCAACCGTTATTAGTTGATATTCAAATTTCATGCTTTCCGCTAGCCTTTCGATTAAATCTAAAGCGTACCCCTCCCATCTCTCACTACCATCTGGGCTTATCTGATTAGTTGGGTATGCGAATGGAGTACTCTGAAATTATATTTATATTTAAAAATAAGATATATTTTTTAAACTAAAGTATATTAATGTTCACTTATATATTTGTAATAATTCTTCTTGATGATGATTATTTTTTTATAATTATAATCCCATAAATAAAAACGATTTCTGATGTCACATGAAGTAAAGAAATAAAGAAGTAATAAATAGGATTGAATTCTAGCTAAACATCTTGACACTGGGATACTTCTTGATCTCTAATTCAATATATTTAAAGCATATATGTTCAAAACTCTGATCAAGGAGTGTTTCTATTACATTAAATAATGTATTTGAATGACTGCAGATTTGATTAATATGTGCTGTGAAGAATTTATGAATGTTTGCATTAGAAAAAATAAGGATTTTTGTAATATATACAATAATCAATGACTATGAGGTGTATATGATAATATATGGTCACATTAATTGAATTAGTAAGAACATACAGCCATTAAGGGATCCAGGATTTCATTTTGGGGAGGCTTCAGCCCGAAAGATTTTTTTTTTGTATGTATATATTAGGATAATTACTTCGGAAGAAAGAAAAAAACTAACTACCTATATGAAATGATGTTTTAGCGATTCTTTAAGTCCTATTAAATGTAATTAGACGAACAATAATACTTTTAGAGATAATTTTTTTCTTTAAACATGGTTACATTTTACCATTTTGGGGGGGACTTCAGCTCAAAAGCTCTCTCCTTCCCCCCGCCCCAGTTGATCCGCCTGCGCATACAGCTGAAGGAGTGTAGAATAGGATATAATTGAGGGAAGCATCCGTACCGTTTTCTGTTAAATTTTTATTGCATTCTTAAGATATAGAATGCTTGAAGAAACTTTTATGTTTGCGTTTGTAAATATGTTTGCATGAGGACAAGATGGATCAGAAAAGCTCAAAACTGCTCTTTCTAATAAAATGGGTCTTGCAGGCTGTTTCAGTGTGAATTTCTTCATGTTATTAATATTATTTGTTCAGACTAATAAGATGCTTAAATACATACTATATCAATTTCTCATAATTCTTCTCAATACATTAAAAAAAAAAATCTATTTTTAATTCCGTTTCGGTTGTAATTATTATCAGTAAAAAAAAAATGACAAAACATTAGACCGAGAATAAAATGTAAGAATGGGGTATATATTAATTAGGACAAATAGATTTTATATGATTATATATACTACTGCAAATTGGGTGTATAAGTGCTTACCACTAGTGGACCCATGATTTAATTTTGAGGAGCTTCAGCCCTAAGATTTTTTTTTATATATGTAACATTCATTACTTTGGAAGATAAAAAAAGATCCTAACTACCTATTTGAAATGGTGTTTAAGTCGTTCTTGAAGTCCTATTAAATGTAATTAGACAACAATAATACTTTTGGAGATTATTTTGTCCATAAGATATGATTATATTTTAGCATTTGGGGGGAGAAGGAGCTTCAGCCAGAAAGCCCCTCACTCATAGATCCTCCTGTGGTGCTTACAATTTCGATTAAGTAGAAATCAAATTTATTTTATAGTGTTTGGTTTTCCTGTTATGCAATATTTGTAAATCAGAAGGTATCTTTTCCACTGTCTTTTTAGCCTATATTCTGGTTCATCAAGTATCATAGGGATTAAAGAGAATCAAAATACAAACATTCAAATATAAAGTTCTTCAAAAGATTATTAAACAACTTAGTTTATTTAAAAATAAACTAACATACAATAAACAATTTACCAACTGTTAAATCATAGTCAGTAAATATACAGCATTTCAATTTTCTGTTAAACAATCACTAAAAAGGGTTAACCCTTTGAAAAGTGAAATGCTGTTTATTTACTGACTATGATTTAACAGTTGGTATATTCTTTATTGCATGTTAGTTTATTTTTAAATAAACTAATTTGTTTAATAATCTTTTGAAGAACTTTATATTAGAATGTTATATTTTGTTTTAGTTGACATATTTTGTTGAACTCTTAACTTCTGTTCTGCTTATCCAGAGTGGTTTTAGTAGAATATTGTATTATAGATAAGGTACTTATTCCATTAATTGACTAAAGATCCTGTAGTTCAGAAGATTCAGATATTGTCAATACTTATCTTAAATATTTTATGAAAAAAAGATCGACTTGAAAAATGCTTTAATAATTAATTAATTTAAAAGTAAATTAGTGTAAAGAATACTTCACATTATGACTTTTGAATATTACTTTATATTGTATTGTATTATTTATAAAGAATTAATCATGAGATCAAATTTAGTTAATGCTCACGAAGCCTGTGCCTATTCTGAAAAAACGCTTGACTCTGGGCATAGCCGCTGTTCTTATCCCAGCGACTGGGTCCCAATTTCCAAGTTGCTGGACTCGGGTCTCTCCAATATTCCTGATCTCAAATCGAAGGTTCAGTCCCACGTCTCCATACTCTGTCATGCGTAGGAGCCAACTGTCATTTAATGCCTGTTAAAAGTACATTTTTAATTTGTATTTATTAAGACTTATAAATAACATGGCATCCATATGATATGATACTGATATAAAATTAACTTAGGATGAGGTGCTTATATTGGAAAGAAATTAAAATAGTGTATTTCCATTTTACTATATTAATCAATCATATAACGAAGTTTAGGATATACAAAATGATTATTCGGCCAGACGCAACATATGCGTGCAAAACATGGACTCTAACAAAGGCATCTGCTGAATGAATAGATTGGTTTGAAAGGAAAATACTAAGACGGATAATAGGACCTAAACTGGAGGAAGGACCCCGCTTGAGAACAAACAAGGAGGTATACTCAATGTACGGTAACCTGTCTATCTCCCAATTCGCTCGAGTGCAGCAAATGAAATGGTTAGGACATTTCCTGAGAATGTAAAAAGCAAGGACAGCAAGAAGGCTTTATCATGGGAAGCCGGAGGGAGTTAGCTCTAGGAGAAGACCGAAAGAAATATGGATAGATAATGTAAAAGAAGACCTGAGAAAAAACGGTATATCCATCAGGTGCGCAGCCAACAGGGATGACTGGGCAAAGGAAATGGAGCAGGCCAAGGACCGCTACATGCGTCTGTTGTGCCAATAATGAATGAATGAATCAATCATATTATACTGAGCTTCCGATACTGAAAGTCCCAGGTTCGAATCCCGGCTCATGGCAGAAAAATTATTAATTCTGTTTCATTGGCCGTGGGGCGACCTTCGGTCATGAGACCATCCTGGGGCACATCCAGCCTCTATAAAGTGGGCACACTTAATTAATTAAGGGAGAGAACCTGGCGGTTGAGCATGATTTCAGTCAAATCACCTCCTTGTACAACCGTTTACCAAGAAACAGTGCTTTCCCTAATAGTACTGAACCCAAGACCCTTCATGAATTGTAATGGCACAGGATTTTTTTTTTTAATCAATTATATTAATGAATTATTCTATGTAAAGCATCAAACCTTCAGGTACGATAGGTATTATTATCTCTAAATAAAATAATTAATTTAAGCTGACCGAATGCTGATTTTATTTTATTTTTATGGATACTTACTTTGTGCAGATTATCGTAAAATATAGTGTCATTTCTTGGACTTATTGCAGATGATGAACAGGAATAGGTTGATGGTTCTGCTGACAAACCTTCGCTTATACTTGATGTTATCGCCTTACTTATAGCAATTTTTAGTTGTTTAGCCCCTTCCATTTCAAACTAAAAAATACATATGTATTTTAAAGATAATTATATAAAAAATACAAGTAGAAAAAGGCCTTTTTGGTCTCAATTATTAAAATACTTTGTTTTAAATTTATTTAAATTTTCGCCTCTTCAGGGATAATACTGATTTTACATATATTATGAATTTTCATCTGAAAAAATACATATACTAAATTCTGTCAGAGGATTTACTAGTAGACATTAGCCCATTTATAAAACACATAATAACATGTTTTATACATTAACTAACCTTAAAATATTTGATATCATTTAGAAATCTGAAAATAAATACATGGAAATGCTGTATGGTCATTTATGATTTTATGCTTCGACATAAGATTCAGCTTTAGGGACCACAAATAAAATACTAACTAATCCTTTTATTTTAAGCTTTTTTTTTTCTCTTGTATGTATTAAATATATTTTTTCCTTCAAACAGTTGGTTTCATAGTTCAGATCCTATGTTTTGCCAAACATGTCAATTGTTTTTTAGTTACAAAAAATACACAGTTTCATTATAACAGTTGATAGTCAAACCTTTATGAGATTTTTACTGAATTCATTTTTGTTTTAAGAATCATAAAACATTCATAAATGTCAAAACCTTAGAACGTACATTAAATGGTTCAGTGCAGTGACATGGTAACATCTGTCCGGGTTCTGTGCAGCAGATGGATCTTGGCATATACACTTGCATTATTCTTTTCTTTAACATGGTTTTGTTTATTGGTGCTGTTCCAACGTCCAATAATACCAAAGCCCATCTATCATCCAAGTATACCATTTTTTTATCCAATGCCTGGAAATTTTTAAATATTATTAAAAAACAATACATTTAGTTTTAATAAACCTCAAATAAATATAGTTAAATTTATAAAATAACAATATATATTTTTTAATTATATTATATTACCTTCTGTAAGATGTTATTAGCTGTTCTATGATCAGCAAAAATTACATATGATGAAGGTGATGGTCTCATATCCAAGAGAGATTCTGCTGATTTGTCGTCTAATCCTAGGTGTACTGTCACTCGTAGTGAAGATTCTCTAACGAGGTACCATAGACTCTGTTCAAAATCTGAAAAAAATATCTCTTATTAATATTGAATATGTATTGGAAATCTTAGAAAAAGTGTCACACTTCCAATCCACATGCATGATAAAAATTGTTTGAATAAATTATTTTACGGCGGTTGTGTTGAAAAATAAGTGCTGCATCGGTCGAATTCCTAAGTTTGAAGAGAGTCATCTCTGTTGCACGCATGAAAGGAGTTATTCCTAGGTCTGCACGCAAGTACCTAATACCTGCTATTTCAGCCACGCTATTCCATCCTGACCAAGTTAAGTCAACTACCATCCACACACCTGTGCTGAGTTCCTCACAAACTGAAAATAAAGCCAAAATTGAACAGTTTTATGACTTTATTCTTTAATTTAATTGTAGCTTTTAAATTATTGATAAAAATTATAATATATATATTACTATTCCTTTTTGTTCACTTTTATCTTCCTTTTTCTCTGTTGTAAGCCTATGCTGACATTTTTGGAAAATTGTTTAGGTTCCATTCTTTTTTTTTATTACATATGGTATTTACCTTTGTTGAATGATTCCTCTTCATTTTCACGATTGATGATGATATACTGTTCTTCCCAATTTGTTTCTGTCTGAACCTCTTCCCAAATGGTTCCATTTTCCTCTTTCAGGATGACTAAAATAATTTAAAATATGTTAACATTTGATTACATGGTGCTTTCCAATTTAATAAAAAATAAAGCATATGATTGTATATCACGATTAAATGTTTAAACTGATATGTGCATATTATATTATTGAAATAAAAATCTCTTTCTCTCTAGTTCATATCAAAGGTCACAGGAAATAAATTGGTAAGTTGGTTCTAATATTTTATGTTTATTATGATAATTTTACAAGCCTTTTGCATTCTGTGAAAAAGAATTGGATGATGATCATAATACACATAACCATTTTTCGACTTATCAACTTATTCCATGTGAGACCGCTGATATAAATTATAATCTTTTCAAAAAAGATTTGTCGATAATTTGTATATTTAATTATTTTAATATTTTTTATTGATAATTGTTTTACCTCATAAATGTTCACATTTTTGTAAATGTAATAGTTTAATTGAAAAACAAAAAAAACGTAAATATTCTAAATATTTCTGATGAGAAGAATGAGGAAATATTTTCTACTTTAAACAAAAAAAAATTATTAGTAAATATTAAATGATTTTTGAATAAAGAATGTAGTAAAAAAAAAAAAAAAATTAGGAAGAAATTATTTACAAGAATATAACTTTTTAAAATTGAAATACACTTTTGAGATAATCCATTAAAATTAAGATATTGTACTTGTTTCTGGAAGTCCATTTTTAATTTCACTCAATCATGTTTTTGAAATTGTTTTATTAAAGAATAATTTATGATTACATAAAATGATATAGTGTGCAACTTGTTGTTTAATGAAATTGAGTCTTAGAAATGCTATGCAACAGAACCCACTAGCGGATCCAGGATTTAATTTTGGGGGGCATCAGCCTGAAAGTTTATGTATATATAAACGATAATTACTTTAAAATAAACTAACTACCTATACCAAATGGTGTTTATGTGATTCTTGAAGACTTTTAATGTAATTACACAAACAACAATTTTTTTAGAGATAATCACGCTCAACCGCCAGGTTTTCCCCATTAATTAATTATTTAATTAAGATTAATCACTTTAAAGAGGCTGGTGTTGGCCTCAGGAGGGTCTCCTGGCTCCAGGGTGGATCCACGGCTAATGAAAAATTAGTTTTTTTGTAATACCCATAACAATTCAAGCTTATATGGCTTATATGTTAAGTGCATTATGGAGAAGAATAACTATCTAACTTCAGATTTTTCGCTGGTGTATCTTAGTTCACATGACTGTATAAAATTTAAATCAGAGGTTTGGGAAAAAAATATATAAAGTTATTTAGTTACTAGCGCAAATTATTTGTCCTGACATAACAAATTATATTATGTCAATCAAAATACTAGCTAAGACACTGGTAAATACTGAGGCTGTCTGCATTTTCCAGAACTCTTCTGGAAATACGTCACAAAAGGGGATAAAGGTCAATCCGTTCTTACTGCAGACAATTCACTAAGAGATTTGTTCTCAGGTCTTAGATCATACCCATTGTCTTTTCGATCCTTCCCATAGCAACAATTTAAACTTCCCTTCATAATTATCCTGTTATCAATCATGTGTGGGTTGGATTTTTAATATGTTTTTCTCCTTCTTAAAAAAATGAATTGAAAAAATAAATTTCTCTATAATCATAGACACTTAACCTTAAATGAATATTATATCTAAATTCCAGCAATCACACCGTTCTTATTCCATTGATATCCATCCTTTCTTCCAAATTGAGAATTAATTTCTCTCCTTATATTTTACAAAAATTCTATTCGTTTGGGTCAAGATTTAAAATATATAAAATTTTATTTTATTAATTTTATTATATAAAATAAAAAAATATATAAGACAAAGAATTTATTACTCATAGTTTAGTAGCCACAATATTTCATTTTTTTAAAAGGAAATTTTATTCTGTATAAAGGTTTCAGAGATGCTGTAACAAGAAAAATAATTTTTCACTCAGCTAAAAAATGATATAAAATTTCTTGCGAAAGATTATAATAGTTATGCTCACCCAATACTCGCTAAAATATTGAAAATTCTTTTTAAGTCAATTTTTCTACTGAAAAATCATTGCTGGAATAAACAAATACAATGAATAGATGTAGTTAGCCTATTGATTATATATTCCGTAGTACAGACTCTGTTTAATTATTAACATCCGCCTGCATCTTCGTAAATAGCTTCATCTCATCGTAACCTACAAATATTTTATTTACGAAAATTCTCGGAATTGGGGCGTTTTCAATCTGGAGATCGGCAAACTTTGTATATTTAATTAGGTATTAAAAACTCGTAAATACTCATTTGCTTTCCTCTTGAATCGTAAAAAAGATCGATAACAAAATCGAGCTTATAGCCCTAACTTTTCAAAATAACGAGGTTATATAGGCCAAAAGGTCCAATATTTTTTTAGTCCACCTTTTTTCTCGATTTTTTGATAAAATTATTTTACGATCCAAGTGCAATGAAAGCATTTATGAAAACCACATTTGAGCCGGTATTATACTAGGCTCATGTTAGGTATGGAAGCATGTTCTAATCTTTCGGGCGAGCTCGACAAAGCTCGGGCGCCCTCGTATTCCTTTTATTTCTCCATTACAACTATTATCTGTTATGACCTCTTATTTCTGCTTTAGTTAATTATCAAATTCTTTCATATTTTATATTTAACTATTTTTTATATCGCATATTAATGTGGAATGATTAATTATTGCAAATAAAAAAATTAAAGGTACTTTAGAGGAAGCTAATATTGAAAATTAGCCATTTAAGTCATGTTAGAGAACATCAATGAGAATAAAACCTACATTATATTAAAAACTGATTAATAACACACTGATATACCGAGTTGGATCAAAATCGCTATAGGCGCTATAGAAAAAATCGTAAACATGTGTAACATCGATTATATGGGGAAGGGAATGTGTGTTTACGAGTTTTTAGTACCTAATAAAATAGACAAAGTTTGCCGATCTCTAGATTGAAAACGCCCCAATTCCAAGAGTTTTCGTAAATATAATATTTGTAGGTCACGATGAGATGAAGCTATTCACGAATTTTCATGCGGATGTTAATAATTTGATAAAAAGGGGTCCCTACCACTGACTAATGAGTATTAGATAAAAACATGCGACATGGGTAAATTAACCCAAATAAGTTTTATTTTTATTTTATGAAGTTTCTTAGGAGGTTTGGTATCATTTCTTTAAATATTTTTCAGTATTTACAGAAACCTCCGTATATGAAGTTGAATGAGTGGAAATTGTAATTCATTCTTCAATTTTATAACACGAATAACAAACAACACTCAAAGTAAACTAGCAAGGCAAGGTTATTTTCCTGGCCAAACTAGCAGAAAAATATGTCAAATACAATCCCGACTTTGTTCGAGAAGTTCAACCGTGTAAAAGCGCCTGTAAAGTCTACTGTTTGAAAACCAAAAGTTCTATCTCAAAGCTTCGTTCGAGTAACTTGACTGTGTATAACGTCCATATAAGATTGTACTTTAGTTATTATTACGAGTCCTTATTACGTGGCGGTCAGTCGAGTTGATTGGGTATCTGCAATGCTGATAAGGAGTTGCCACAAGGGACTGCAGCTTGCAGATAGTAGACATCCATTAGCAGCCAACGACTAATGCTTTCGGTGATTAGAGATATTACCTCTCCTTGTGTTACTGCCAGCCAAACCTTCCGTAATTCTAACCAGTGACAGCCAGAATTAGTATCGACTTCTCTCTTGGCCAAATACTAAATAATGTAACAATTCATCATTAGAGAAAAGGAAAATATTTTTCTCAGCAACCGTAACAAAATGGTTGAAATTATAGTAGCTACTACATATTAAAATTAAACGGATGAAGAATGAAGAGAAGTATGTTTGGGGTGATCAGTCAGAAATAAGAAGGAAAATTAAATAATAATATTTATTTTAACATTTGCCGACGTTTCGACCGGAAGTTCAGGCCTTCATCAGGGCTGCTCCCAAAAGATTGCTGGAGTACAATGAATACTCGAATACAGAAATAATTAAACCCATTAATCCTCAATTATTCAAATTAAACTTTGTATATTCTGTTTTTTTTTCTAATAATTATTATCAGTTATTATAATCCGCGGGTACAGATCCTTTTTTATCAAATTATTGACACTCGCCTCAAACTTCGTTCAAATGGCTTCATTTTTTCTTTACCAACAACTTTTTTATGTACGAAAATTCTCGGAAATGGGGGTTTTCAAGCTGGAGACTTTGTTGATTTAATGATTTTTTTTTTCACATTTGCTTTCCACTTGAATATTGAATATTGAAGTGTATGATGAGGTAGATCTCCATCCCTTCCAATATAAAAAAAAATCTGGTGTGCGCATCACACGACTTTCACTTACCTCCCTCTTCTTAACGGAAATAAGTATTTTCATACCCTTAGGCCAATATAAGTTTATTATAATAACACATAAGTGTAAAGAGAAAGGAATTGTATGATGAGGTAGATCTCCATCCCTTCCAATATAAAAAAAAAATCTGGTGTGCGCATCACACGACTTTCACTTACCTCCCTCTTCTTAACGGAAATAAGTATTTTCAGACCCCTAGGGCAATATTAGTTTATTATAATAACACATAAGTGTAAAGAGAAAGGAAGTGTATG